TGGGCGGCTTAAAGAGTTAAAAACCAAAAAAACCATACAAAGACAACCACAAAAAACTGCAAAAAAAATCACTAAAAACATTAAAAGCATTAAACCATAAAAAAAAATCTGCAGGAGAGCACCATTCATTTCCTAGTGTGAGAAAAGTGAATCTTTGATCCCACACTAGAAATAGCCATTCAACAGGCTCTCCACCAACATGACTGGACCCCCAGGCTAGATGACAAAGCCATGTCTTCTGGCTCTTCCAGAAGACCAAAAGGGTTGGGGCCAATCTCAGCTCAAGGGGGATGATGTTCCAAAGGGCAGGTGCTGCGTTTCTCTCTCTGCTTTTCCATGTCTATTTTTTCCCAGGCTCCAACTTTGACACCACCAAGATACAATCTATTCCACATTCACTACTTCTCACCATCCTTGTATCCTTCACTAATTGTCTCAGCCTATCATCATAAATAATCAAACTAATTATTTTACCAGCCTTGCCCCAATAACATTAAGGACAACACTAGGCAACATGCCATAATGCAACTGAAACCCAGTTCTAGCCCAAGTATCTTCACACTATTCTATACAGGCTAGGATTTCTACCCTAGAGGCTCTTTTGAAAGCTAGCATACTGTTGCTCACCTCCCATCAACTGAAGAATTATATGCAGTATACTGACATACTTTCATGATGTTTCATTGATTTTTTCCCCTTCTAATTACAGTATTTCTATTACAAAAAAACCCTGTATTATACAGCATGGCATACTTGTTACTTATTAAACCTCTTATTTGATACAGCTGTTTTCTTTTAAAATACTTTCTAATCTCAACCTTATATGAGTCAAAAATCAATTCCACTCTATTCTACAGAGGCATAAGAGGCTTTTGACGTATCTTTTTCCTTCCCTTTCCCCTTTCATGAGAAGAATATTGGCCTACTATAAATCTATTATAGAGATAACAGAAATTATAACAACTTCTTACTGATGTGACTAGTAGAATTTAATCTTCAGGTACCTTTGTTCACATTTTTATTGTAAAGTATGTCTTTCATTAAAACTATAGTAATTCTAAACAAGCAGCACTGCTGCTTAAAATCAATTATAGTAGTTAGAATTATTACAGTTTGACACAGAAACTTCCCAACCCTAGCTCAACCAAACTTCAGTGGTTTTATGGAGAAAAGAGCCAAAAGTGGGTCTTTCTACTCTTTTTCCATATATAGGGAAATATTAAGTGTCTTGGGAGTGTATCTCAAACCAAAAAAGGCTCAGAAGTAGTGGGCTGCAATGATTACAATGGCAGATGAGGGCCAAGGAGGTCCACATTCAAAGCCCCACTCAGCCATGTAAACATCTGATTAACTTCAAACTAATCACAAATCCCAACTTAGTTTGTAGGGTTGTTGTGGATATAAAATGGCAATGGAGAAAATGAGGTCAGACTAGAACTCCCTGAATCAGCCAGTAACACTGAACTAGGACCGTAAATACTGTACTTATAAAAAGGATACTACTAACAATTTTTAAAAAGTATATGTGCCATCAAGCCCGTGTCCACTGTTAGTGACCACACAGACAGCCCTTCTCCAGGATAAACTATCAGCATTACCCCCATCACCTGTTATACATTACAGTAGTAGCAAGATGGTAGAAAGGAGCTACTAACATCTGAGCCAATCTTCCATAAACAGGAGTTTGCAAACAATCTCTTTCACCGAGTTATTTGAGGATTAGAGAAAAGTATACTGAAGCAGAGCTGCTTTAATCATTTTATTTATTTACTTATTTATTAAACTTGTATGCCACCCATCTCACTATACAGGTTTGGCCACCTATTCTTTAATTCAAGAGGCAGGATTCTCATTTAGTCCTCTACCCAAAACTATTTAATGCAGTACATGAGTAGCGTCCGCTACCAAACTTACTATTTTACATTAACCTACGCGCGACAAGCCACGGTCTTCCTCTCTCGTAGAATCTTACAAGCTGCTGTTAGGCAGCCCATTTGGCCTGGAAATCTCTACTTCCGTCAGCAAAAGTAACAGAAGCGAGAAAGCGAGGATGAGAAGCCTCTTACGCGGGGCCTCAAAACGTTCCACGTCCAACCAGAGGAAAATGACAAAACGGGGTCCGCGGGAGGTGTGGGGGGGCTCCTACACGAGCCCTCCTCGCAAGAGAGCGGACCGAAAGGAAACGCGGTCCGCGGGCGCACCCCTCGCGCCCTTCCCACGAGCGGGGCCTGCCCGCGCGCGCCCCTCCTTCCCCGCCGCCACAATGGCGCCACGGACTCCATGCCCCGCATGCAGAAAATGGCTGGCCCGGCCTA